CTGATAACTTTTATCCCATGCCAATTTTATAGTGACATGTTTTAGATTCACTGCCTACTTTTTGGTTCTTATTAGCCATTACTCTGTATGCATATGTGTGCATGTGCACGTGTGCATGCATGCATGCCCGTGTGCACATGTTACCTGTGAGGTGGTGGGGGAGAGAGTGAGGAGAGGAAGCACCCTCCAAGTGGGGACTGGTCATGCCACAATCTGCTTTCCTCTAATTCTCCATCCCATCAGGATTCTGGGCAGATGCCTACGTGGACGCTGTCGGGTTGGTCCTTGAACCTCAACTGGCTATATAGGATCTGTCTTCCTCTGGATGGCACTTCTCTGTTGCACAATAGGGTTGGCTCCATTTTGAAATTATTTGGTATAAGATTACAATTTCCTCCAAAATAATATCCCTCTGGACACATTGACACCTTTTCTTCTGTGTCTGTTACTCGGTGAAGTGTGTGCTGAACTCACATATCAGGCACTGCTCTAACTGGGCAGACTCGGACGGTAAGAAGAGCACCGCACTCTGCCGCCCTCGCGGCACACCGAGCAGGAAGCATAGCTGAGGAAGGAGCCCAGAGCCTGGCGCTAACTACCGAAGGGGCAGGGCCTGCCTGCGTCGTTCATGCTCTTGCCTCCACCGGAAGGAGGCCGCTCCTCTCTGCCTCGCAGTCTAGCTCCCACAGTGCTGTGGCCCAGCTCTCCTCACGTCGTCTTTCCTGTCGTTTGTCTACCAGCCACATGAGCCAGCAGCTGCATCATGTCTGACACATTAATTTCAAGAATCATATTCTTTTTTTCCTTTTTGAGAGATTTTTGCTATAGGGCATGTGCACTTGCCCAAAAACCAGAGAGACAGTGCGAGATCACTTCCCAGTCCCTTCTCCACTCTCTTCTCAGGATCTGGGACACATGTGCACACGTTTGGATGGAATCTCTAGCCACTGAGCGCACGTGCCCTATAGCAAAAAAAAAAAAAAAAAAAAAAAAAGGAGAGAGAGAAGATATCTTTGTACATAGTTGACTTTGAGTTTAAAGAAGACTTTTTCATTAAAATGAGGGCTCCATATGAAAAACAAAGAAGTCCATCTCTAACTCCGAAACATTAAAGGTTGATGAAATATAGCTAAGCAAGTAAGATGAACCATTTACCCTCATATGTTAGTTACTGTTAGCCTTCTATTTTAGTTGCTAATATTATGATTTCAAAATCAGATCATTATATTGATGCCTTTGTATATTTATATTTTTGCAGGTGAAAAAAGCCAAGATGCAGGAGACGGGAGAACAAACACTAAGGTGTGTACAGTTGGGTTTCTTTTTGTTTGTTGGTTGAATTTACTATAGGGCATATGTGCTTGCTGGAGAGAGAGAGAAAAGGCACCGCAGGGAGGATGACCATGCCACAGTCCCTTCTCCATTCTCCTCTGGTCATGCATGCACACGCACCTGGTGTATTTTTCTAGCTGCTGAGTCTGGGTCTGGACTTGAATCACATGGTCAGCCATGTAGGATCTAACCACCCTGGCTGGCCCCAGTTGAATTTCATTTTAGTGCTCTACTGATAACTTTTATCCCATGCCAATTTTATAGTGACATGTTTTAGATTCACTGCCTACTTTTTGGTTCTTATTAGCCATTACTCTGTATGCATATGTGTGCATGTGCACGTGTGCATGCATGCATGCCCGTGTGCACATGTTACCTGTGAGGTGGTGGGGGAGAGAGTGAGGAGAGGAAGCACCCTCCAAGTGGGGACTGGTCATGCCACAATCTGCTTTCCTCTAATTCTCCATCCCATCAGGATTCTGGGCAGATGCCTACGTGGACGCTGTCGGGTTGGTCCTTGAACCTCAACTGGCTATATAGGATCTGACTTCCTCTGGATGGCACTTCTCTGTTGCACAATAGGGTTGGCTCCATTTTGAAATTATTTGGTATAAGATTACAATTTCCTCCAAAATAATATCCCTCTGGACACATTGACACCTTTTCTTCTGTGTCTGTTACTCGGTGAAGTGTGTGCTGAACTCACATATCAGGCACTGCTCTAACTGGGCAGACTCGGACGGTAAGAAGAGCACCGCACTCTGCCGCCCTCGCGGCACACCGAGCAGGAAGCATAGCTGAGGAAGGAGCCCAGAGCCTGGCGCTAACTACCGAAGGGGCAGGGGCTGCCTGCGTCGTTCATGCTCTTGCCTCCACCGGAAGGAGGCCGCTCCTCTCTGCCTCGCAGTCTAGCTCCCACAGTGCTGTGGCCCAGCTCTCCTCACGTCGTCTTTCCTGTCGTTTGTCTACCAGCCACATGAGCCAGCAGCTGCATCATGTCTGACACATTAATTTCAAGAATCATATTCTTTTTTTCCTTTTTGAGAGATTTTTGCTATAGGGCATGTGCACTTGCCCAAAAACCAGAGAGACAGTGCGAGATCACTTCCCAGTCCCTTCTCCACTCTCTTCTCAGGATCTGGGACACATGTGCACACGTTTGGATGGAATCTCTAGCCACTGGGCCCCGGCTTGAACGGCAGTCGGCCATGTGGGAGTCCAGCACCTCAGCCACCACACCACCTGCTGGCCCCAAGAATTGCATTTTTCACCGTCACATGATTGTTTCTGCTCATTTATTTTAAAATCGCCACACCAGCCTTATACTTCCAATCAAATCATTTGTCGTATTTTTTCCCCTTTCTTTATTTTTTAGGAAAGGTTTTTGCTATAGGGCGCGTGCGCTCAACAGACAGACAGACAGACATAGAGACAGAAAGCAGGAAATCCCCCCCCCTAGGAGAGATGGCCACACCACAGTCCCTTCTCCTCCATTCTCCTCTCGGGATCTTGGGCACGCACACACACGCGCCCGGCGTGAGTTTAAGCCACCAGGTCTGGGACTTGAACCGCGGTCGACTACGTGGGAGTCCAGCAACATAGCCATTATGCTAATTGCTGGTCCCATAATTTGTCATATTTTCACTATCAGCTGACTCCATCAGAAAAAACTTCAGCTGCTTTTCTTTTTTTAGGTTTTTGCCATAGGGTACATGTTCTCTCTGGAGAAAGCAGACAGGGAGTGTGAGCAACCCTTCCCATCCTGGGGGTGTTGGGAGGATGGCCATGCTGCATTCCTTCCTCTTTGGGACCGTGAGCATTCATGCACATGCACCCCATGTGATTTTCTAGCCAATGGGTTCGAGACTCAAAGTGTGGTTGGCCATGTGGGCGTCCAGCACCTTAACCACCAGGCTACCTGTTGGCCCTTCAGGTTCTTCTCTGTCCGGACACAGCCTCAGCATTTTCCTGACATACTTGTCAAAACCACAGCCCTGGTTAGACCCAGCTGTTCGCCTGTTCCGTACCGATTTCCAACACCTGAGAGCGTCATAAGAGAAACACACAAAACCACGCCCGCCAGTCTTCGTCTCGGGGTTACCATGCATTACCCCGTCCGAAACAAGGGCTCGAACGCTTTTCTCGTGGCTTATTTCCAGTCTCCACAATCGCCTTCTTTCCTTCCTTCCCTTCTTCCATGCCTCCTCCCTGCTGCTCTTGTTTATTCAGCTGTGGGTCTTTCCTCCTGATTCAGAGAAAGTAGAAAAGTTGGGGTGCCTGGATTGACTATCACCAAGCCTGCCCCTACTGCTTCTCTGTGGTCACTGTCACCTTTTTCCTGAGGTTCATTTCTCCGTTCTTAACCAGTCTGACCCTTCCCTTATACTCATAACCCGTTACCTTCTTCCTTTCCTGCTATTAATCTCTTTTCTTTCCTTTAGCAATTTTTACTGTGATCGGAGACACACAGTCAGTCAGGTCTTGCTCTGAGCCAAGCTGCGTGTCCAGCGCAGAGGGTCGAGGGCGCTCTGCCTGTGGTCCTCACCTGCCCCCCCCCCGGGCGCTCTGCCTGTGGTCCTCACCCCTCCCACCCCGGGCGCTCTGCCTGTGGTCCTCAC